CTGTTATACTTTTACCACAAAAAAGCAAACCCTTTCTGTATTGTCAGAGGTAGTCATGAAGATTTGTACCGTTTTATAGCAACAAAAAACGGCATTTGAAATCAAAAGCTGCGGAGAAAACGATGTTCCACGTATGCTTTCAACAGCTTAACACTGAACAAACAAGGCAGCCTTTCTTCACTACTCTTCATGAATATTGAAGACTCCAGCTAATCAAATGACACCAGACAACTGTATCAGACAGCAACATCAAAAAGGAAAGTCCTGATTCTCCTACACAAGAGGAGGTAAGAAAGCCCCAGCTGCTGCTTGATCAAATAATATCAGCCGAGACACTAGTAAAATGTTTATATTATACATCTTGCTACCCTCGCTGTTTTTACCAAAGGACAAATATCAATTTGTTTCCCCAAGGACGATCGTTTTCCGTGCTGGTCCCCAACCTTCTTTTTGCTCCGCAATTTGGGAGGACGACGAACGTGCCTCTCTGATCAAAAGAGAGCAACGGTGAATCCAGATATGCAGCCAAGTCCTAGAGGCTCATGCAGAACACCTCAATCATCAGGATTACTTGCAAAGGCTTACTATGAACAAAAGGATAACTATAGAGCAACGGAGCCTTGGGAAGAGCTCTTCCAAATAAATAAAGGAGAGCAATCCATTTAGTGCTAGTAAATCTTCAATGCTAAAGCACGGTGGCCAATTTGGGGTTCCTGGCTTCAAGATATGAACTGTTAGGAGAAAGTCCAGAAAGCAGTGAGTTAGATAAGAACACTAGAAAATAAGATCTTTGGGGAAAAACCAGGACAACTGGAATAAAAAGACATGCAGTTTGTGTTAGAGAAGAGATCAAGGGGAAAAACGATAAATCAAACACATCAAAACATATTAAAAAAAAACTGGATAGTACCAAACAACAATTGAAGTTTACTGTAAAATATGTCAGTTAAACATTAGAAAAAGCAAGCAGTAAGAATATAAAGCACTGGAATAAGCTGCTTAAGAAATGCCGTGGAATTTCCATCGTTAGCAATTAAGAGATTAGACAAGCATCTGTCAAGAATATCGTAACTGATCTTCCCTCAAGACAAAAGGATTAGCTCAAGGTCTCTCTTCATCGTTTTTTTTCTTCAGTATTCTTCCAGGAACAAAGAAAGGCCAGGCAGAGCCACAGAAGTAAATGTAAATAAATAACCATTCTAGCACAACTCCTTTCTACAGTGAGACATCCGACAGAATAGAGAGATTTCAGGATGCTACAATTTTAATATCCCTTAGTGGCTGTAAAGCATGACTTTGGTTTTAGAGTTATGCTGCTATAATTCTGGCAATGCACCAAAAAAAAAAAAATCAGTGAAAAAATTAAAAGTAAAATAATTAGGTATATGCACATTTTAATAGTCTCCCTAATCCCAGTTCTCTCATTAGACAAAGTTTCAAAAGTAAAAAACTTCACTGCATATATTTCCACACTAGAACATACCCTACTTAGAGGATGAGGAGCCATTCCTAAATGATAAATGCTTTGCAATTGTTCAAAAATAAGCTACTGTTTTTAAAGGAAAATAAGCATAAGACAAAACAATAGCTTTTCTCTATGCGCAAGCCAGGTCCTAGAAGACTACAAAGCTGACATTACATGAAACTTTTAACCACTTCAGCGTTTTGGGTAGCACAAAACAACCACAAAGCAGTCATCAGGCAAAAATTCTGCATGCTTAAACCTGAGTTAGCAATGCAGGAAAATCCTTATGAGACGGCAAATAAGGAAAGAAAGACTGCGAGAAAGAACATGCGTGCGGGAGTCTTCACTTTTCTCATCCATCTAAATCAGGATGCTTAGAACTAAGAAAAGGAAAAAGAAATGGCATTTGAGCCACCGGGTTCCACCAGTGAAAGCACTGCTGGCCACCATACCAAAACAACAAATTAAGTCTTCAAATTGCTCCCCAGAAGAGTAGTATTTCATTTGGGCAGCAGACATATCACAGCAAAATTGGGAAGTTCTATATGTGGACACTTTTGTTCACCTTTAAATGCACTTTGAAGCCTTAATGATTCTGATCTCAGCATCTCCAGTTAGCTCTTGGTGAGGTCAAAAGCAGTTTACATTGCTCCTTTACTTCACATTCCACCATAAGTTGCCCAAGCACAGAAATGCTGTTATATCCTGCTAGTTATTCTAATTTCCTCATGTTGGAGTCAAAAATCTTTTAAGTTGCTCTGGGAGATTTCAGCCAAAACAAATGCTCCTTCCTAAGCAAAAGTTAGGAAAAACACATTTGTTCATTATTTGAGTTTTCAATAACTTGCGCGCTTTGGAGGAAATATGAATATAGCACCAAGGATACACAGCTGGCAAGATCTGCCTTTTACCAACTTAATGACAATAGATAAAAGATTTGAAACCTAGCTATCAAACCCTGGGAAGTTATGCTTAAGATAGTCTGGTGTTTGGGGAATGACTTGTGTTTACATAGTAACCGACTGCTGTCTGTCAAACTCCTGTCCTTCTCGACAAATTTGGAAGGACGCATGTAGGTTACTCTCAGTGTGGCATATGCAATCTGTTCCCTATGTAAAACCCGCACAGTAGCGGAATATGCTAAGTGCAGATCCACTCTGAAAAATGTACCTCCTAATCTCTACCAAGCTGCTATTTACTATTTTGCAGATGCTTATAAACCGGTCAATCTACATGGATTTTTCTGAAAGTAACAACTTACAGCTATCACGTTAAAGCCAGAGAACAGTTCAATTTCCTTCCAGTCTTTACTCTAAATAAGAAAAACTCAACAGGAGCTCCCCATCAAAATCCTTAGAAAAAACGTACTTACCATGGCCAAAAACTTTTCCTTATTCTCATATTCAGGGATGAATTTGAATATATTTTGTTAGACTGATTCTTTTTGCTATGTTCTACAGCTAAAAATCTAATACAGGATTTTCCAGTCTGGATGGTTTGTTTGTCAGAGGCATATATTCCTGGAAACAAGATCTGAATAACTGCCTAACAATACCCATCTCAACCACAGACATTCTCATCTGAGCCACCTATAACAATTTAATACCCAAAGCTCCCCTTTAGAGTTTAAAAAAAAAAAAAAATCCCAACAACTAAGTTGCTGACTGCCTGAACTCATACCTAAGGGAAAACAAACAAACAAACAAGGCTGCTCTTTATGTCTTAAAATTTTGGTCTTTGATCCTGTAAACAAGGAAAGACCAGTAAAAGTAAGACCATCTCTAACCTACTAATATGTTCTTCCCCTTCTTCACCACAACTTTTTGTCTTCTCAACATAAGCCTCCAACTTCAGGGAGCTCTGCCAATAACGCCAGATGCAGGAGCTCGCAGGAAGACCGGAACGGTTCTTAAACTAACCTGAGAGACACATTATTCTTCTTTGGAATCATCTCTGAAAGAGTCTGACATGCAAGGAGTATTAGCAATAACTTAAAGAACAGAAAGATTTAAAAGGCTAGGAATTTTTTTTTTTTTTAAAAGAGCACACTACTTCAAAGTAACATAGGGAGTAGCAGAAGCTTTCGTTACTTTGCACAACATTTCCTCTATTAGCAGCCACCAACATGTGATGGGAACAATCTCGTTCCCGTATTTTGTCCAGAGGAGGTCACAGTACAATTATATCATACAGCCAGCCCTAAATCAACATTTTTGTATAATCCCATGCCCTTCAATTATGCGTTTGTCACATCAGAGATCCCATAAGCTTTTCCCTGTGTCATGCTCACCTCACCAGGAAGAGTGAACCTGCAAACACATTCGGGAGTCAAACAATATAAATAAAACCAACCCTATTTCATAACATTTGGCAAAGGCGTTACTCGCCATTTCCCAGTCTTCTAGAGAAAGAGATCAGAAACAGGGAACTACAAATCAGTATTGGTCTGTAATGCATGCTGGCTGCTTTTTGTGATTACTGTCACAGTAGGTCACTTTGAGGTAAGCTTGGATACAAGCGTGACTTACAAAGGAGCAACACGTTGCCTTCAGAACAGAGGCAGGCACAAGAGTTAAACTTTAGATGTGGGTGTTATCAAAGCACGACTTTAGGTCAAGGAAGTTGTTTGAGGGAAAGACATTACAGAGAAGAGCTGACTGCCAAAACGTTATGAGCAAGTAAGATCTGAAAGGGTTATTCTTAGCTGCCTATTTCACAATCAAACGAACTGTATCAGTGACACACAGCCGAGCCACACTTCAGAATTTACTACAGAAAATACAGGTGGCATATCCTGGCATTATACTGAGGGAGACTCCAAATCCTCCAAGAATGCTATAGCTGCTGCTGGCGAACGTCAACATGCTTGCAAAACGGCTGCCCTTCTTCACTGGGGAAAACCCGGCAGGGTTTTCAGAGAAATCATACTGAACGTTTTGAAAAGAATACATTTTCAAGTTTTAGCAGCTTTATAACAGCACCTTTGAACAGGGAAAACAAAGTATCTAGGAAGTAATAGTAGCCACCACTGACAATCTTTTTTTATTGTAAATGTGACATTCTCCTTCCCTTGATTCCTACTCCTCACTAATGCCCTTGTCTTTTCCCTCTAAACTTTCTACCTGGACACAGACATGTTCTAAATCAGCAAACAGCAATGAGAAAGCAGAAAAGTAAGGCATAGCAATAAAAAGAGTTTGTTTCATCAACTTTAATGGCTATGGCATTAACAAACATTTCGACTCAAGGACATGAAATTCACAGTTCAACAGTCACCTCGGGCAATAAAAACCTACATATAACAAACAGGAGTATTTTCAATTCATAATGCCAGTCCTCTATAAGTTAGCGCACCAACAGAAACACAGCAAAGTAAAAATTTTCCTTCGGAAAGCAAAAGACATACACAGCTCTTCCGGTTTCTTTTAGGGAGAAATGTTACAGTATGGTACTGAAACATACATCTAAGAAAAATGCCAGAAGTAAGGCACTTCATTCCCGTTTGTTTTCTGACAGCGCGAGTAACAGATTATACCTGAAAAATTGGCTAACTTCATTTCTTGTGTTCTTCCTGTCATTTAAAATACTGCAACACAGGAAGCAAATCTTCAAGGTATCGGGCAGGCTGCAGAGACCGGGGACTCAACCCTCTTTCCATTCCACTCGGGCAGTTCCACTTGTTACATTTGAACGTGCTGGATACTGGATAAGACCTGACTGCAAGCTCCCACTGTCATCCAACCAACTGTCCTTTCTTCCACCTTTGCAAAGGTTCAGCACTGCAATAATTCAGGGCGGCCATCTCATGAAATAATACAGCATTCAGCATGTCTCTTCCTCTTCAGGCTCTGAATGCGTCCACCATCTTGCACAATAGCACAATAATTAGTATTTTTCAAATTACCTAAAACATATTAAGAGGTAAATAAAATTTCAACTCCGTTTTACCATTTTCGCAGAGAAAACTGTTCCAAATGAAGCTTACGGATACCATATATTAAACATTAAAAACTGCCCATGTGACTGGGGAAGGAAAGAGAAATGCACAACTCCAAAGAAATTATGCCAGTTTCTTCTGAATCACTATACAGATCCATTTTAGGGAGATGAGAAAGGATGCATTACAGAAATCAAACAAAACTCATCTATAAATATAATTAGAACAATCAGCTAGAGCTAAAGTATAAAAAAAAACTTGAAGAGCTGAAGCAAAACACTGGAACTACGGAATAGAAAGGAGATGAAGAATAAGCAAACCATGATCTGTAACTGAAAGGGCAGAGGACTGGAAATGTCACTATCTTTCATCAAAGTGCTTCAAAAGACTCGGCAGTTATCCTTATCATTTTAATCCTCTATCTTCACTCACACTTTCATTCTCAAAACATTATATACACGGGAACACAAGTGTCAGGGGTCTCGGAGCACAGTTTGGAAGCAGTCAGAGGAAAGCAGTCTGTTAAACCCCATCTCCGTGAGTAAGGATGATCTTTATGGCAGAGACTTCCACTCCTCGTACTATATTGTTTGTTTTACAGCACCATAATTTTGTGGGGCGTTTTAAACTCAGGATCATATATATGTATATATTTATGTGTGAGTCTATACATCCTCAGTATCCTACACCCTATCACAGTATTCTCTGTGTGCATATCCTTCTCTCTTTCTGTCCTTTTCTCTTATTCCCACTATCAATAATTTTCCATCCCTGGAACAATTTTCACTGAACTCAGCAAAACATCACAGATCCCACAATATATACATTCCTGTGTATTTCAAAAGTATTTATTTCTTAGAGGAGAGACTCAATTCCTCTCCCCCAAGTAGTGTCCCTATTAAAAGGCGGCTGCAGGAAAAACACAATTACATTATGGGACACCAAAGAAGCCATATAAGAGTGAATCAAGAGAAAATAGCCTTCAAACATTCTGCTGCTTGGAGCGTTGCTTACTCTTCAGCACAACTTGCAACTGTGTTTACTCTCTCACTTAACACTTAGTGATGCTACAGCCTAGCAAGCCTAACGAGCCAGTTAGCAGAAGCTATTTTAAAAACTACATCAGTAGACAGCTAAATAAGTGACAGCTGTGGGGGTGGGTAGGAAGGGGGAAGCGACCCCACTTTTGTGAAGGGAAGCCAAGTTTCATGAGCCTACAGGAACTCTCTAAAAGATCTCCCGTAACCACGTGCCTATTGACTCTAATTGATAAAGCCTGCTTTAATTTCCAAGAGACATTTAACAAGATTCTTCACAAAAGGCTCTTAAAGAAATTAAGCTGCCATGGCAATAAAAGTCCTTGCATGGATAAGTTATCTGGTTAAAAGACAGGAAACAAAGAGCAAATGGTCACTTCTGACAACAGTGTAAGGCCACCAGTGAAGCCCCTCAGGAATATGAGCTGGAGCCCATACTGCTCGAGACATTCTTGCATCTGGAAAAAAAGGGGTGAACGCTGAAGTGACGATTTGCTGCTGACACTAAGTTATTCAGGGTAGCGGAGACAGGCCCAACCGCACAGAACTGCGGAACAAACAGAGGCCACGTGTGGAACAATGGCCAACGCTGCCTGCTGGAGTTCAGTGTAGATACAAGCGTTATTCACAGGGATCTGGAGGGATCCTAGTTTTAAATGGGCTCCAAGCTGGACATTGCCGCCTGGGCTGAACTTACACTGCTGAGTCAATCTTCCACCTAAAGAAGGAAGGGTCTCAAAATCCAGAACCGTTTTCCCACAAAAAATTCTTGTCACTGACCTTGCATCAGTTCTAGTGACAGTTTACTTTGATGATCTGATTCAATTTATTCAGTTGGTAGAAAAATACCCCCTCCCACGCAGAGGGTTTTAGCCAGGTAGTGAATTCAGCCGGCTCAGGGAAAGGTCAAACGAGCAGCAGCACCGGCACAAAGAGAAGGGAAGAACTGTGCAGGTGTGGAGAAGGATTTCCTCTTTCAGTTATGGCAGACTGTCCGATCAGCTCAACTATCTTGTGCAACTTCACTGGTAGGAACAACTTATTGGGGGTCTAGTGAAAAGATCTAAGCAAACATCAGTTGAGTGCTCAATAGAGAAAAAAAGCTAATCAAGGTTAACAGTTATTAGTAAAGGAACAAATTTGAGAATATCACTCCGTACATCCCTGGTACATATCCCACCTAGAACACCATGCACGGCTCTGGTGCTCCCAAACTCAAAAAAGGGATAGACTAGAACTGGAAAAGAGACAAAGACAGGGGAAAAGGTCAGTCACAGACATGGAATTGCTTCCTGTAAGATATATCTGCATAAGACCAGGACTCTCCAGTCTGGAAAAGAACAAGTATTGAGGGAACTTACGATGCTGTCCCATAAAATCAGGGGTGGTAGGCAGAAGATAGATAGAGGCCACTGTTCAATTGTTCTTCCAACACAAAAGGTACAAGATATTCAGTGAAACTAGCAGGTGACAGGTTGAAAAATCAAAGAACCTGCTCTTTGCTGTATATGTACTTAAGTTACAACGTTTTCCATGTGAAGTTGCGGGCAATGTAAGTGTACAGGGGTTACAGAGGATAAAATTAAGTTAGAAAGGTATTAAAGATTGTCAAATACAAAGAAAGCATTTCTAGCTTGGAATTCCCTAAGCTAAGAGTGGCCAGAGGCAAGGGATGTGCATGCTATGCACTTGTCTTACGTTTCCCTAAGTATCCATTATTGGCTACTGCTGGAGACCTCTTTGGGTTGACCGAGGGTGCACGTTTTTATGTTCTTACACAATAAGTCATTACAGCTTCTCAACATAACAGATTGTCAACTAATAAACTGATGTTTTGCTTTGCATATTTATCTCACGCTACTATAGAAACCACCAATAGAGAGATCAGTGATGCTTGCCCGATCATTTTGCAGACTGAGATCAACAATGGTATGGTGCAACTTGAACCAACCTATTCCAAATGAAAGCTGAAAGTCTCTCAGCAGCCAAATTAGCTACTACTAAATGAAAAAAGAAAAAAAAAAAAAAAAAAAAAGGACAAAAGGAAAGTACTGGCATATTAACTACTCATTTGAGATGGAATTCATTACCCGTTTGCAAATGAAGTCTTATTTTCTGCTTATAAACAATGACATAGGTATCTTAATGGAGTTCTATGGGATTCTAGACCTAAAAAGGAGGCAGAAACCCTCATGGGTGTGAGGGCAAACAGATTTTGCTTATTATTTGATATTTCTCTCTCAGAAAACATCACATGCTATTCTCTTGTATAAAAAAACGAATTTTCATTTTTATTATTTTATTGAAGAAAAATGCTCGACATTTAGAAACATCTCTGACACACAAGTCTGTCCCTATGTAACTCTATGAAGAAATATTTTTTTTCCTATGAGCTGCACAATCTGTCACTCCTGACCATTTTCACTCATCTAACCTGCCAATATACGTTGGCAATGTGGAGAGTTAAGAATATAGACTCATTTGATTTATTTATAGAATAAATAGCATTTATTCTGGTGAACTGCGCAGCAAGAAACAGTTGGCTGGATGTTGCCTCATGCTGCTTTCTAGTAAAACATTGCTTTTAGTAACCACCAGGAACAACCTGCCTTTCAGTTGAGGGAGGGCCAGCTTAAGAATTCAACCTCTTGCTCTTAATTCTCTAAGAAACTACTATTAATTGAGTGACTGTAATTCAGAACACACTTCCACATCAAACTCCTGAGTCCAATACTGCGGGCAACTGTGGTTGAAATGCCTGTGCCACCAAATGATGCTGTACAACCAGTGCCTTTCGGCATGTTTTAAGACTGAGAATACAGAACCCTCCCGGGCAGTATTAATACCATAATAATGGAATTAGTGTTTGGCATATACATATATATACATACACATACATACACATACAGTTTGTGGTAAGCCATTAGCCTTCATCTTTGGATACATAGAGTTGCACATCTCAAAGCTGGGAGACCTGAATGCTTGGGGGGGGGGGGGCAGACATATTCCTAAAATTTCAATATGGTATTTCCCATATTTATAAAAGAACATTCTCTTCCAAAATAAGGGTGGCTTTGAGATTGCCTAATATGAAAGTAGAGTTGAAAATGTATCCATTTTATTTTGAACTTATGTCTTACACAGCTTGTTGGGCTCAGTAAAGACATCCTGATGAATCTATTGTCCAAGGCATCCTGTTTTCTCAAGCATAATGTTATTACTCAAAGACATTTTCCTAAATACTCAAATGCCTGCAGAAATGCAAGTGATAAATAACCTTGTTTGGGGAAAATTATCAAAAACAGAAGGGCAGTTCCTTCTAACTCTACTGAAAGGACCGAAGTTACTGGGTATTCTCTTGCAACTCGTATTAGCCAATGCAGAAGACTAAGAGAAGGTTCCCTTCAAAACCCCTTTTCTTCAGCTCTTTCAGCCAGCTGAAGATGGTGTCTGCCTTAAAAAAAAGATTAGTAGGGAACTTCCTAACATAACGTGTTTTTGGAAGCGTATTTCAGACTGAAAAGTTGCAACACAGAGTCACAATAATTTTCTCTCAACTCTTATTTTCTAGAGGAACTAAGAAATACGTCTTTATACTCTGATCACATATTCAACACTCGAAGCAAGGAAGTAAAATCAGTTTGGAAATGCAAAATATTGCAACAAGTAAAACATATTTCTAGATGTCCCGAGTAGAAATAATGAAATAATTATCTGCTGGTGATGTTCAGATACCAGAAGCTGTCACAGGAAGAAGAGCTAGCTATAAAAAATACGTAAGCTTTGTAACATCCTTCTCTTCCTTCCAAGAGAGGAAATCAACTCTACTCTCTCCTATTTTTAGCCAACAGACATAGCACCGTGGCACTGCAAGTGAAGGGAAGATGGCAATTTGGAATGGGAGACTGAGTTCCACATGACAAACTTGGGTGACCACAACAAGTAAAACCTCAAAACTTTAAAAATTATTTACAGATTCTGGATGACATTTCAAATCCTAAAGCCAGTAGGTCAAATTTGGGTACGATGCATCCTTATCTCAGTGCAAGAGTAGACTTTTGGTTTTAGCTCCAGGAATCAGAAGTCAGAGCCTTAGAAGAACGCTCGGGCACTTCAAGGTACGGAATGGGGAGAGACAAATCTTCCTGAGGCCAACCATCTGTTCAATAATAGCATTGCATCAAAACTTACTCTTTAGCCTCCCGCACAATTTAAGCGGATGAGAAGGCAAATTTGTTTCTTCCAGCATGTCTTATCTGAACAACTAGCATTTTCAAATTTTCAGCGGGGTATCCGAGTCTTCTATACATTTCATTAGCAAACAATTTGCAAATGTTACAATAAAGACATGTTCTTATCCCAATAATAGGACTTTTCTCAGTAAGAAGTCATGATTAAACGTTCCTCTCCCACGGCATCCTTGCATTTCTACAGGCTCACTCAGCTACTAAAACAATAGTTAAAATGCCAACGTCTGGCCATCTCGTATCAGGGTGAGTCTTTGTAAGAAAGGGAAAAAGCAAGAAAAGAGCGTATCCAAGTCATCAGTGCAAACTCGAGTTATATGTTCTTCTTTAGGAAAGGATTCTTCGAAACCAAAAACATTTGCCTTTTGAGTTCCTAAACATCCCAAGTAATTCATTTTGTCAAAGCATCTAAATATTACAACCTTTCTCAACTATCAAAAGGTGCACCACAGTTTCAGCAGATGTCACACAAGAATTTGCACAATACAAAGGGCAGACTATGGATAGAGATAGCAGCTTATCTCCCGAGAAGATCAGAGTCATAACACTCTAGCCTCTGAGATCTCAGCTGCCCTCACAACTTCTCTGCATAGCGCATCCTGTGTGCAAGTTTGGCCACAAATGCTGTCTCTCATAGTGGATTTATTAACTTCAGCACGATTCTAAGATGTCAGGAAGCACCAGCGATCATGAGCTTTCAACTGCCACGTGCTCCGGTTCTTAAACACAGGGGTTCTCGAAGATGTGCTCTGAACTTCCACAGCTGGTGTTAGCTGTTCACTCAGCTTCAGAAAAGTACCACTTTTTACTAACGCCCTCTAACTGCTATAAACCCACCAGCATGCTCATTTATGGTAGTAACTAAGAATTTCAAGCGAGCTGTTGGTGTTGAGCAGCCAGAAGAGAGTATTTCTTATGAGATTAATCGCAATACTTGAGTTAGCCTCTCCAACGACCTGCTCACCAGTAAATCACAGTGCATCACCACACTGTGGCATTGGTTGGCTTGCCATTTCACAAACCTTTGCACCAAGGAAGTGCACCGGCACGGGCTGTCCAGCAAGAACTCATGACAGAAGGGTCAGAAGGAAAGAAAGAATAAACTTGCTTCTTGCTCCACAAAGCAAGAATGTCTATCCGTAGCCAGGACAGCTATAGATAAACAACGTATAGCCTTCTGGTCTAGTGATTTCTTTGTATCGCTTGATGGATTACACCGTAGAAACATTCGTTGAATGACCTCGCTATCTACAGATGAACGAAAAAACCTCACTAGACAAGGCAAACTTGCTCTGGATCCAGAAAATCTGGAATAATCCTTCTCTTCTACCACCCCTATCACAAATAAACAGGGCAATAACATGGGAAAGGGAAGCAAGTCTTAGACATGCGTGAATCCAAACACTAACGTCATCCATCATACCAAACACATGACAATTTAAAAACACTTGCGTTAGCGCTGTGGTCTGGAGAGGGACTTTTCCTCCCTCTGTAACTTAGTAAATGCTACTACTAGGTCAACACAAGAACAAGAAGTACCATTAAATTCACTTGTAGAACACAACTGAAATCATGAATGCTTATAAAACAGCTCAACGTATTGCAATTAAATCCACGCTCTCTTACCAGAAACTAAGTTCTTTGGTGCTGGCAGGCACGTCTCCTTAGTTTGCGCCATCGAGACTACCGCCTTCCTTCCCCCCAAGTCACACCTCATCCCAACTATTGCTCACGCTCTCTGCTCTGCCCCCAGAGCATACAGAAAGCAAAGAGTGGCTGCCCGGCGCTTCTCAACGTGGGCCGGTCACCAAGTCACCAGCGCCCATCACAGAAGTCTCTCTGCCTGCCAAGCAAAGCCCTCGTTATTTCGGCCGTCCGACATCGCAGGACCTCGGCCCGGCGTTTCCGCCTCTGTCTGGTCTCCGTGGCACTAGCCACGGGGCATCGGCTTCCCCCCGCTCCCCTGCCGGGGGGCCC